CTGATCCAGTAGTTTCATGATTTGAGAAGTTCTCCAGTACTCAACATTACTTTTTTCATCTCCATTTAACCGTATTTTGTGCTTTAAAAAATATTTCTAATTTTATTTTAAATTGATTTATATTTTATCTACAACATTTGATAACTACACGAAGGTCAAAACAAGTAACTACAAAAACATCTGTTGATGTACAAGAAGGAATGGCTGGGAGAATAAGATGCTGGCATTAAGGCTGGGTGGAAGGGGTGGGTAGAGAATGAATGGGGGAGGCAGTTGCTTGTTATCTTGTAAATGATCAATTTATTTCTTTAAAAATTTATGTTTAGGTAACTTTTACTTCTCAGCTTAACTTCCTACACTTTTCTCTCAGGGCTGTTGTGTGAATCTCTGAGATGAAATTTGTAAAAATACTTAGCATGGTGCCCGACATATCATTATCCTTTCTAATGTAGTTACTAATAGTTTTGATAAATATTTTTTGAGCATTACCTGTTAATAGGTTTTGTAAAATACATATAAGCCAATGATTATTTTGTGTTCACAGACAAAATATAAGTCATGGGCTTTATATTGAATTAATCTTAGAATACTTCATTTAGATCCAAAATCCAGAATTTCATAAAGTCAAGAACTGATTTTTTCTGTATAAGTTGAATGTTATAATTTCTTTCCTCATTAACATATTTTTACCTATTGAAAATTGTCTTTATTTTTCTTTTGAGTTAACTAAACAATCAAAGATATTGGAATATTTATTCCTCATAATGTCTAAAACATTGTATCTTGATGTTCTTTTCATAAGACTTTTCCCCCCTTTTGTGAGCAAACTTAAAAATTAAATTTGGCCCCCAAACCATCCCCTGGCATCTGCCAGCAAAACTGGAACTATTTTGGCTTTTATCTCCATAAGACACATTTTCAAAAATGCAGTACAATTAAAGGGAAAAAAAGTACTTGAATCTGAAATTTTAAAATTACAGGTGGAGAACTCAAGCATTAGAAAGTAAAATGAAGTGGAGAGCATGGCATTTATACAGGGAAAAGCTACTGTGTGAAGAATTCTGACAGTTGTAACTTGCCTCGCAAATACAACTTGCTTAATTATTAAAGGTGATGTGAAAGGAGGCCCAGAGTGGGTTAGCCATGCGCCCGGCAGGCGAGCACAGAGCCCACTGCTCTTTACTGTAACAGAGGAATTGATTTTAGGAAAATCCAAGTGAAGATGTATCTTTCAGCTTGAAGTTTATTTTATCAAGTGTATAATTTGCTCCAAATTATTTTTCTCCACAACTCAACCAGGAAGTTTTGACAGGGGTTTCACTCTTCAGAATACGTCTTCACATTCTCCTCAAAAGTGGTTTCTTTTTGATGTACTTTATTATCAGACAAAATCTAACAAATATCACATGTTGAGTTGTGAAAAACATGTGTACTTTCATATAGTAAATACGTGTATGGTAAGCCTCCCACACAGCTTAACTTGTTACAGTATACTTCTTAAAAATTTTAAGTCTTCAAAGATTTGCTCACAAAGGAATGCATGTTAGTTTGTTGCTTTATTATTGTCTGTATATTATTTCAGTCTTTTTATAGTCAGTGCATTTTTAAAATTTTATTCCTTTTTAAAACCATTTTAATTTTTTAAATACCTTATTGATTTTTAGAGAGAGAGAAAGGGAGGAGAGAGAGAGAAACATCAGCGTGAAAACGTAACATTGATCAGATGCCTCCTGCACATCCCCAGCCAGGGATCAAGCGAACAACCTGGGCATGTGTCCTGATTGGGAATCTAACCAGCAGCCTTTTGGTGCATGGATGATGCCCAACCAACTGAGCCACACTGGCCAGGGCTAGAATGCATTTCTTATGCTATCAAGTAGATATGTTCAGTGTTCTTATAATTTTATCAAGTTGAGTGAAAGGTGAAGGATTGGAATTGTGTATGGAGTGACTCTAAACATAAGTGAAAATATTGTTAATTTCTTGAGGCCTAGTGTATATTTAGGGCAAAGGGTCATCGGATGTGGTAGCAGGTATACATTCATATTATAAGTGCCTTCTTTATAATTTTTAATTTTGGGGAGATCTACTTGTCATTGCTCTTAGATTAGTCGTCATTTTTATTTTATAGTGATAAACAATTCATATTAGAAATGAGAGTCTCAGTTTTGTCATATTCTTTATTTTTATAATTTTTTATTACAAAGGGTATTACATATGTGTCCATTTTACCCCCCGCCCTAGACAGTCCCCTAGCCTCCCCTATCCCCCCGTGTCTTATGTCCATTGGTTATGCTTATATGCATGCATACAAGTCCTTCGGTTGATCTCTTACCCCCCTACCTCCTGCCCCTCAACCCTCCCCGGCCTTCCCGCTGCAGTTTGACAATCTGTTTGAGGCAGCTCTGCCTCTGTATCTATTATTGTTCAAAAGTTTATAATGGTCTCAATTATCCATGAATAAGTGAGATCATGTGGTATTTTTCCTTCATTGACTGGCTTATTTCACTTAGCATAATGCTCTCCAGTTCCATCCATGCCGTTGGTCATATTCTTGTTAGCATTGTATTTAATTTGAAGTTTCTTTCTTGAACTTCCTAAGCCATTCATCCAATATGTGAGGTTAGTTTCATTAAAAATCGATGATTATCATCCATAAGCCTGTTTAAGTGGGTATGCACAGGGTACAACATGTTGAAAATGAGGGCCAAGGAAGGGTTCCATTGTCAACCCCTCGGTCTTCTCTCAGGATGACTTGTGACCTAGGAGGATGCCAGTATTAAGTTAAAGGATTTTATAAAAAATAATACAGGACTTTTTATATTTTCCTCCTGGCCAAGTTTGTTCTCTGGGGATTGCTATACCAAATGCCACAATTTGGATTTCTGTGTGCCTGCCTTCTTAAGAGAAGGCCCCGAAGTACTGTAGCTGGGCTGTGGCCCAGGAACCAGAGCCAGGCTTGGCCTAGTGAACAGAACCCTGTCCCACTTCTGTTCTCTGTGGGGCGGATGCGAGAGGGTGGTGGTGAGTCTCCCTGTCTGCCCCGTGCAGAATTCTCCTGCAGCCCACGCTTCACCTTCTCCCAATCTTTAGGTCTCTTTTGTTCAGCTGTGAGCTCCTTGAGGCCTGGGTCTTATAGTAGTGTTCAATGAACCCTCCTCCCCTACTTTTTAAAAAAATATGTTTTTATTCATTTCAGAGAGGAAAGGTGAGGAAGGGAGAGATAGAATGAGAAAGAATCATTGATTGGCTATCCCCTCACACTCCCTACTGGGGTCAAGCCTGCAACCTGGGCCTGTGCCCTGACTGGTTCATAGATTGATGCTCAATCATTGAACAACACTGGTTGGATTCCCCTATTTTTTAAGTGAGCTATAATTGACACACAACATCTTATAAGTTTCAGGTGTACAATATGATAATTTGATATTTGTATATATTGCAAAGTGTTCACCACAATAAGGCTAGTTAACATCTGTCACCATAGTGACAGGATTTTTCTTTGTAATGAGAACTTTTACAATCTATTTTCTTAGCAACTTTTAAATATGCAATACAGTATTATTAACTACTAGAGGCCTGGTGCACGAAATTCGTGCATGGGGTGGGTGTTGTCCCTTAGCCCAGCCTACGCCCTCTCGCAAGCTGGGACCCCTCTGATCAGGGTCTATCGGGGCTTTCCTTCCCCCAGCTGCCAGCAGCTGGCCCCACCCCTGTCGCTGCCCCTGCTTGCCATCTGTGTGGTGCTGTCCCCCCTCCCCCGCCACCAGTTGCCTCCCTCTGCAGGCAACAGACAGGCATGGGGTGCCATCGCTTGACTGGCCTGGGCCTTCTTCTGCAGGGCAATTGCTGGCTGGCTCCGCATATCCGCCACAGCATTGCTGGCTGGTGGCCTGGCTCCCCTCTGTGGGGCAATTAATTGCTGGGTCCCCAGATTGATCACCCTGCAAAGGGAGGCCCTGCCCACCTGCTGCAGTGCTGCCAGTCAGGTAACCTGGACCTCCCTCTTTGAGGTGATCGAATGCGGGGCTCCGTGATCAATTGCCCACCAGAGGGAGGTCTCACCCACCCGCCGCAGCGCCATTGGCTGGGTAGCCTGGGCCTCCCTCTTTGAGGTGATCAATTGCAGGGCTCTGTGATTGATTGCCGTGCAGAGGGTGGCCTGGGCCTCCCTTTGCAGGGTGATTGTGGGGCGATAGCAGCCCCCCTGACCAATCGCATTGTGCCCCCCTGACCAATCACATCGCACCCGTCTTGGCTGGCCTGGCGTTAGTGTGTGTCATAGCGTGGTCAGCCGGTAGGTCGTCCAGACAGTCGTTCTGCTGTTCGGTTGATTTGCATAATATGCTTTTATTATTATAGATAGTCTCTATGCTGTACATCACATCCCCATAACTAATTTTTTAACTGGAAGTTTGTACCTATTTGACTCCCTTCAATTAACCCCGTTTGAATGATGCTGGCTCCTTTTTTCCTAAGCTGGAAGCTGGTTTCTGGGTGTGGGTGTCAAGGGGCAGGCACACCCAAAGGCAGATGAGATGCATGCAGCAGGGGAAGAGGTGGGTTAGCATGACAGCGGCCTGCATTCCCCCAGACTGAAATGCGTGGCCCTCTCTAAGATCGGCCTTGTTCCACCAAAAGTGGATTCTGATCTCAGAGAAGCCTGTCATCCAAGCGATTTATTAAGGTGAAACTTTCATCCTGCTTATTTTGACCTTTCTTGTCTTTCTGAAATATAATTTCCATTTTGGGAGCAGTCAAGTGGGATAATGTTGGGGTGATAGATTTCCTTGTGTGTGGATATTAATACAAAATAAGAAAGGGGTTCTGTTTTATACAGGTAGCATCTTATTTCTGTATTTTTATAATTTTGTCTCTGCAATTTTCCTATCTAATGAGTTTCTCCTCCTTTGACAATATTGATACCTGAAGGTCAGGACACAGTTCTGTTGGTTGGTTATATGAGGACTCCGGTAATAAATGCTCTTCTTGTTTGCAGATGCAGAAGCCATGGAGCTGAGCTGCAGCGAAGTACCTCTTTACGTAAGTTCCTAAGCATTGGGCTTCAGGGTGAAGTGGCCCTTTCTTAGACTTGAAACCCATGTGACTGAAGTGGGGAGAAAGGCTTTGCTCATTATTGAGCTGAGGCTTTTGAAAAACAACACACAGTGCTACTGTCTAGTTTATTTGCATGAAGCCTTTTAAAACTAGTTGGCTCCTGGTTTCCAAGTCTGGGTTTTAATTATATTTCCCCAAGTAACTTTGTAAAAACTGTATTAGCTCTGGACTAAAAATACTCAATTCATCCATATAGATGATTTTTGAATATATTGTTTTATGATAATATCCTGATAATAGCCAAGAACGTGTTCTGTGTGTGTCTTTTTGGGGGAAATGTTCAGTGATAATTGTGTCAGTTAAAAGCATGAAATTCAAAGGAAAGTGCTGGGCTATATACATAGATTATGTAATGTGGGAGATCGGGTGACAGAGTTGCCCAATGAGATTCCCGATCAAGGTGCCTTCTGGGTTGCGGGAGGATTCTGTTGTCGAGAACAGATACTGGGTGTAACAGGGAAGTGATGTGATTGTCTCATCTTACAAAATGGCCGATGGGTTCCTCTTCCCATCTTCCTTTTTCAGACAAAACCTTTTTTCTTGGAAACTGTGTTGATGGGGGTGTGAGTATGGATATGTGTAGGAGGGCTGCTTTTTCAGGTGGCCTTTGAGTTATCCTCTCATGGCATACAGCAAGAGTACAGGATCTAGCATAAAAGATCTGACCTCATTTCAGATTAATCCTTAATAGAACAATATCAAGGAATTGGAACAAGTTTAATCAGAATCCTCAGTCAATTAAAATATATTAACCCACTTCCTCTTGACACACTTTACTACCCAAGTAACCCTCTCCCTCAACCCCTCCCCACTCTTCTTACATGTATCCCACTGTATTCTCTGAAGAAACACTAAATGATCAAGTAAATGGATGCAAAATAATACCCTCTTCTCCTGGTTTACCCAGTAGTCTATAGTACTCTCTTTACGTTGTGATTTGCAGGTCATAAAATGTGTCTATAGACAGGCTTGGCCCAGCCGTAATTAAAGATTAAAAAAAGACCGCTCCAATGCTAAATTGTAAAGTATCCCAAGTTTTATTCAATTATTTATTTTGTACTTACTTCCTCCTCAGTTGTATTCATTCCACCCTGCTTCCCTATCTCAAACCAAATAAACAAATCCACAAACCTAATCCTGGTAGAAAACCTTGTGGTTAGTCAACATACTGGTGTAGCTATATTGAACTTAGACCTACTGATTATGCCCAGACTAGGGAAGAGTCAGTTAACATTGCCTAAAGGAGAGAAGAGAGTTAAACAGACCAAACAAACATTTTTTTTCCTAACTGTCATATAATATATACTAATTAGAATAAAATGAAAAATACCAAAGTGTTAAGAAAATAAGTTACTCATAATCTTACCCCCTATAAATAGTGTTGTGTTAAAACATTAATACACTTTACTGCTCTAGTTGGTTTGGCTCAGTGTATAGAGCATTGGCCTATGGACTGTAGGGTCCCAGGTTCAATTCTGATCAAGGGCACAGGCCTGGGTTGTGGGCTTAATCCCCAGGAATGATATAGGCAGTGAGTAAACTGGCTTATAGCTAACTAGTGGCCTGGTGCACAGATTCGTGCACATTGAAAGGAAATTAATTAGACATATTTTAATATCATTATTCGCCCTTTCTCTATAATAGAAGTGTCAACCAAATTCATGATCAACAATGACAGATGAAAACATGTGCATGCGATTGGCGCCAGCAAAAGCTTTATACATATTGCCCATGCGCAAGTCAACGTTTATTTTTAAATTGCCAGTGTGCGTCATATGTACTGACTGGTCGGTTGGTTGGATGGTAGGATGGACAGTTGGATGGTCACTTAGCCTTTTAGATATATAGAAGGTTACTATATATCTAAAATGCTGGCACAACATGAATTAATTGCTTTCAAAATCCCTTCACCATGGTTTGTTATTAAAAGACAAAGTTTACTGTGTGCATGTGAGTGCATACCAGTGCCTGACTGTCCACAGCCTGTAGACCCAGGTTTCCAGAATGCTGGGTGGTGTCTCCATGATGGCTGCTCTTTGTGGTGGTTAAGAACCTATTAACCCCAGAAAGAAGGTCCAGCAGCCATCAAAACTCTAAGTGGGACTCAGCAGCAAGGACTCTCGTCTGAAGGGCTCCTTGGTCAGAGCAACAGAAATAGCCTGGAGAGGAGGCCGATGAAATCTTGTTGTCCTTAGCCTTTAAGGTAGACTATTCAAACGAAAGCCATTAAAATTCAACCAACCAGTCCGGCCAGTCTTGCTCAGTGGTTAAGCATTGACCTATGTGAACCAGGAGGTCTCTCCCTTTCTGAAATTAATAAAAATATATTTAAAAAACAAACAAACACACAAACACACATTAATACATTTTATTAATTCTAAGGCACATTTTTTCCCTTATTTTCATATCTGTGAAATTGAGATGCTCCTACACCTTGCATCTTGGCAGAAGTCATGATGTTGCTGTCATTACCTAAGCATGTGTGACCTTGGTCACACCGTTTATATTGTTGTCACTTCAGAATAGTTATGAACTTTGCTGGCACAGCATGAATTAATTGCTTTAAAAATCACTTCACCATGGTTTGGTATTAAAAGGCAAAGTTACTGTGTATATACAAAGACATGGAACCAGCAGCATGATACATGATGAAATCTGTATAAGTTAAAACAAAATTCTAACAAAAAAATGGGCAGTTTTTCTTCTAGTGGCATGCAAAATTCATATTTTATATGGTTTTCTGTTGCTCTGACCAACTGATGGCATCTTATATTAATTATGTAAATTTTATATGTACGTAACTGTATGTACATATATATGTTGTAACCTGATTTTTTTTCACTTAACATTTTATGTCAATATTATTACAGATTGACCTAAGCCAATCTGACCATTTGGCCTCATCAGTAAGGAGGTCAGTGAGGGTTACACTATAATGAAAACAAGTCTTAAGCCAAATTCTGTTGAATAAGTAATATGTAAACAGAGCAGACACAAAGGCTGTGCAGCAACTGGTTCCTGTATCTTGATGCAAGCCTCCTGTCTGCCCACGGCCTTCAGAGGTTGGATAAATATGCACGTCTAGTTTCTCCCAGCTTACTACAATCTGGTTTATAAATCCTTACTATTTAAAAATTCATAGTATATTTTATTTTAAAAAAGCAAAAAGAAGAACTTAAAACTATGTTTAACTCTATCATCGATGATAAGCATTATTGACTTTTTTTTTTCTGCTTCCAGAATTTTATCTATATTTGTGTGGAATTTTATCGAAGGTTCTTTTGCATTTGTTTAGATGATGTGTTTTCTTATTTGACTAATTGTGATATATTACATTGGATCTCTTAATTTTGATGCTTTCAAATACTTCTAACAATCCTATTTCGTTGTTTTAACAGGTTCTTTTGGGAAAACAAATTAAGATAACACTGTTAAGAACATAATTTAGGTAGAACCAAAAAAACCCTAGAAATTGTAAAGAGTTATAACATTGAGATAATATCTTAAAATTATAAAACTACTAAGCATAATAATTGTATGCTAATGAATTGGAAAAGCCTCAGTAAGACTTTAAAAATATAAACTACAAGATTTATCACAGAGGATGACATCACATAAATAGAACAGTGGTCATGAAGTAAGAAAATGTTAGAAATTATTCCCCAACTTCTTTTTGCCCTTTAAAAAGAGCATCTCATTCAGGTGGGTCCTATCGGTGATAATTTGTTTAATTTTTTGGCTTTTTATGGCAAATGTTTTTTCCCCTCACATTTTTTGGCAAATATTTTTGTTTGCTTGTCTTCAGGAAGGAGACTCTATCTTAGTATTGGGATGCAAGGATATTCCTGAACTCAGCCCCAGACTCACTCTGACTTTGAAAATGAACTATGAGCCCTAACTGGTTTGGCTCAGTGGATAGAGTGTTGGCCTGCGGACTGAAAGGTCCCAGGTTTGATTCTGGTCAAGGGCATGTACCTTGGTTGCGGGCACATCCCCAGTAGGAGGTGTGCAGGAGGCAGCTGATCCATGTTTCTCTCTCATTGATATTTCTGCCTCTCTATCCCTCTTGCTTCCTCTCTGTAAAAAATCAATAAAATATATTTTTTTAAAAAAGCTTTCTTCCCTCTTTGGGACACCTGCTCCAGCTGGTGTGGCTCAGTTGTTGAGCATTGACTGTTCAATTTCCGGTCCCAGCACATGCCTGGGTTGTGGGCTCGATCCCCAGTAGGGATGTGCAGGAGGCAGCCCATCAATTATTCTCTCTCATCATTTATGTTTCTATCTCTCTCTTCCTTCCCCTTTCTCTCTCTGAAATCAATAAAAACATATTTAAAAACAGGTACAGTCTGGGTTGAGATCTAGGCTTAATCTTTAGATTGAATGGTGGCTTAAGCTAGGGAAGAGTTGTAGTGATGAAGCTGATGAGAAGAGTGAAAGTCTGGGGATGGGTACATACATTACTATAATTGACCTACGATGCTTATAGCATAAAACTCGTGGACATCACTTGCGAGTTTGAAAGTCCTATTTGTTATTTTTATTTTGTTTGTTTTAGTTTGTTGCTTTTAGTCTTATAGTTGTCATTTTCTAGTTTGTACATAAAAAGCGATAGGAAATGATGCAAATAGAGCTTGAAAGAAGAGATTTTCGCTGACTGGGTATTTGAATTTTGAAAGAGGAAGAGATTTTGCATTCACCAGCTAAATTGTGTGCTTTTGCTGGTGAATGTTTTTTGGTTACTTTTAAAATTGGCTTTTCCTTAAATTTTTGTTAAGGAAGGTTTTAAAACAAATAAATATACTTATTATTCACTCCTTTTCACATTATATTTTTATATAAAGTGTAATTAGCAATAATCTTCCCAAAAGATCAGTTCAGAACTGCTGTGACTAACACAGAAGAGCTCTTTCTTGGGAAATTGTTGA